CAAAGGGCCCAGTATAACCTTGAAACTGACTTGTTGCAGTTCTTGCTACTGGCTTATTGCAGCCTCGTAGTTTATTCCTCGCGTAGTCAGTCACTTTAAGTAGTTTTACTAGATTGTAGCATAAAAAAAATAAATTTTTGTTGTCTTATTGTTTTGGTTTTGATGATCATCAGAAAGCGATATAAAGCTTTATTATATTAAAGATTATTAAATTTTTATTAATGATAGTTAAGAATTAGTTAATTAGTTAATAAATAAACAAATTAATTAATAAATAAATAAAAATGCTTGTCTACTGTGACTAGGTTTAGAGCATTTATTATAAACTCTAATATATAGTCTTTAATTAATTTTATTTCACTTCATTTTCAATATATTTTTTTATTTTTTTATTTTAAAAATATATGATTTTGATTGGTTATCATTTTTTTAAAGATTTTTATAATTTGTGTAATAAGAACAGTTACTCCTGTTAGTGTTGTTAGTGGATATGAACTGTCTATAAACATAAATATCTATGCTTATAAACAAACAAAAAGCTATGTTCATATTCATGAACAAATACTATATGTTTAAAAATTAATAAAATCAATCCATAAAATCAATGCTATTGCTGTCAATAAACATGAATATTAACTCAAATATGTTATATGTCAAATTAAAATTTGTATATGATCAAAATTTAAATCATAAATTTGATTAGAGTAGAAGTTTATATTAGAGCAAGAGTGAAATTTAAGATATTAGGAATTTTCATAACAAAAATTTTTTTAGCTGATTAGATTTCTTGCTAACTAGCCAATAATATGCTTGGATAGTAGACATTGTCTATAGACATGTCTATGGACATATATCCATATCCAATTATTTTATTAGACATTTGTTCATGTACATTATTTATGCAGAATGATCATGTGAACATAGACATTGGACATTGTTCATGAACGTCCATCAGAGATATATAAAAATATCGATTTGATTTGACAAAAATATCGATCGATTTGGTCAAAAATATTGATTTATATTGATATACATAGATCAATCAATTAGAATGCAAAATTTTGATAACATGATCAAAACTTTTATTACGCTAATTTTTTTTTCTAAAGATTGTTTTATAATCTCTAAATTTTACTCAAAACTTTATTTATAAAATTTTATTATTTATAACATGCTCTCAAAATTATTGATTGTAATACATAATTATAAGAGCCTGGAGTGATTCTTCACTAAGATTTTGTCTATTATCACTTAAAATTTTGTTATATGCAGAAAAGCTTCGCTCTACACTGCAAGAAGATATGGGTAACTATATATAATCTAATGCAATTTTACTTAACAAAGGTAGCTGAAAAGAAACCTTATTCCAAAATTTATCTAAAGTTTGAAACTCAATTATAGCAAGGTTGAGGTTACAATAAATTATCTATTCTTGAATTAAATCTGTAGAAGGATTTGATAATTCAGAAATATAAGAATATGATATAATATTATGATTAATAGAAGAAAGTAAAATAAAATATAGGTCAAAAATTCGTGCTTCTTTAAATAAAGAACAAATAGGATAATTACTAATATGTTTAAAAAATTTGTCATATGCAGCTTGATATGCAGATTGAAATATGAAAAAAAATAAATCTGCTTATGTATTAAGTTTTAAAAATATATTAGATATTGGTTAAATTAAAATTATCATTGACCTTCCTATATTAATTGTATTTTCTAATTGCTCTATATGACTTTCAATAAATAGAAATACTAGCAAATTTTCAGTTTGATAAAAATCTAAGTCATATACAAACTATTGACCATAATTTTTAATAAATGCTAAATATATATATATATGCCCATAGTCTTGTTGATTAGCTAGAATCATTATAATTTTTTCAATTGATGACGAGATGTTTTCTTTATGCTCTTGAATATAAAAATTTTGAATAAATTGTAAATATTCTTCTAAATAAAAGGCTATCTTGTACTATGAATTCCACCTAGTTATACTAGGTAATGGAATATTATTCAGTTTCAAAACTCTATTCTGATATAAGAACTTTATATATCTTGTATGTCAATTTTTTGAAAATACAAATGTTTTTTTTAATTTCTGCTAACAATGTATAAATTATGTTAAAGGGCTCAATTGACACCTATGCTTCACTAAATATAATTAAAAATTTTAAATTTATTTAAATCTATTAAAAGTACTTTACAAAAAATAATTGAAATAATTTTTATTACTATACTAACCTAATCAAATTCAATATGTAAGCTAAACAAGTTTGATACATTATTTGTAGTATAATTAGTTTGAGTACTTCACGAATGTATTTCTTCATATAGGAAACTGAGTCAGATATGATTAAATGTATATTATTAAATAGAATATTCCATTCAACTAAAATATGAACTACCAATTGATCTATAGTCAAATTGTTTATTATATCTAAAAAATCTACTACAACTAATTTTATAAAATTACGATAATTAAACAAAATATTAACCACACTTCGTGATCTACTATCAGTAGTTTCATCAATAATCAATAAAACTTTTTTTTCAGTATACATTTGCTTAAGCATTAAAATATGGTTTTCAAATACACCTGGAAAGTATACACAATACAATGTATTAGTTGAAGAAATGCTACCATCTTCATGCAAGTATTTACTCAACTATGGTCTAAGCTTATCTACCTTCTCTAAAGGAATATCCACTTCAATAAATACACAAATTAACTCATTAATTACATTTTTTTTGATTCACTTGCTTCAACAACAGAATCCAAAGTAACTTGTCTTTTTTGGTTTTTGGCTTTTTTTTTTTTTTTATAATCACTTGTTTCAATATGAGCTTTAATATTTGCTTTGTTATTCCAACTCACAGAATGGCCACAAAAGTGACACATTAAAAGCCCAGCATCAACCACAAAGTCTTCTGGAAATTCTTGCGCACGATAATATACTGTAACACGTTTAGGCAGCATTTTATAACAACGTTATATTTGGGATTAGTGGTCTTTTTCTTGAAATGTCCCAAAAAATTACTTCACTGTTATAGACATCAGATTTTTTATTACGTTTATATTTATGAAATGTATATATTTCGTTAAGATTTCTGAAAAAAAAAAACCTCCCCAAAAAAGAGCTTTTATACTGATTAGCATAATGATGATAATCACTTATCGTTATCTGAAAATTTTAAATTTTGGCCAGAATTATTATAATTCTGGCCACCAAATACAGTATAACATTACACGACATGAAATTTTTAAAAAATATCAATTTGCCTATAATTTCACCTAAAAATATCGATTTATATAGGATTATCGAATATCGATATTTTTACACGTCCCTGACGTCCATATCCAACGATTTGGCTTGGACGTATGTCCATGTACATCACTGGCCCCTGTAGTTGCATGGTCAGGCAAAAAAGTTATTGAATGATATCCGAAATAATCCGAAGAATTTGCACAGAATACATGAGGTTTTTACTAATACATTTTATAGGACTTTGGATCCTGAATTGAATTATTATAACAATACAAATTAATTTGATTGGATGGACTTATTCGATAGACTCAATTTAGGATCTGATACAGGATCTAAGTCCTATAAAATGTATTGTATTTTGTATTTTCATGTGATTTAAAGGATCGAGTCTAGGACTGTCTTTTTAGATCCTAGGATCGGATTCGCAATTTATAAATCATAAATTATAATGCACGGTAATGCATGATAATGCACGGTAATGCATGATAATGCACGGATTTTATAATTTTACCGCACGGAACCTTGTACTTTAGTGCATGCAATCACGCGTTTGTACACTATGATGATTATTCCAACCCTACCTCTACTCCTTATCGTTATAAATTTAGAAGAGAATATGCTAAAAGAAAATACATCAAAAAAAAATATGTCAGAAAAAAATAGAACAGAGTTGAGGTATTCAGGTAAGTCTTTGTATTTGACAAAATCAAAAATTAAAAACTATAAGTCTGAAATTTGATCATTTCAGATTACTGGGCTCGGGATTCTCTCACCTGGAGCGTAAATGATTGGGATGTTTATTTCATCAGAAAGCATCCATATTTTGCAACCCCACATAAATCTCACTTGGCCTTATCTGAAGAAATAAGATCTATAAAGCGAATATATGCAGATATAGAACATCCTGCTAATAAGGCGTCCCAAAGATTACTGAACGAATTGAAGGAAAGTTTTTAAAAAATTGATAAATACAAAAAAAGGTGGTGCAAGCATACTTCATGACTAATCCGGCAGCCAGCGTGTTGAGGTTTTTGCGCGCGTGTAAAAACCGACGGGTAGTGCCCGCGTGTGCGTGGTCATGGAAATGCTTGGTTGAGCCCGCGTGTTCGAACATGGAATGCTACATTTGAACTAAATCTGGTGGCCAGTGTGTCATTGGAGGAGGGCCTGCGTGTCTGCGGTTCTTATGAAATTCCATCCCATTTAAAGTTTAATAACTTTTGTCAGTTTCTTTAATTTTAAATTTATTAATAAATCTTAAAATTAATTTTTTTTATAAAGTTAATCAAGAAAGACGAGAAAAACAAAAAAATTTGGGAAAGATGCGACAAATATGTGTCCTTAGACATTGAATCTCAATTGGTTGACATTGAGTTATCTCTTGATAAGGTAAACGATTTACGAACTTTCGATAGTTTTTAACAGGTTGTTCTTAATAATTCCTTTCTATAGAAAAAGGGCATTCGAGATGGTCTAAATATAGCACGCAAAGGATTTAAAATATACTCTGAGATGGATTTTGAGTCTGTAGAAAGAGAGCGGAAAAGACTTAAAGCACATGCTGGAAATGTACTTGCAGATAGCACGGTGCTACACAGACCATCCCCGAATTTCATTATATCGGGTGATAATGATAAAGAAAAAATATCTTTAGACGATAATATTCCAGAAAATTGCGTTCTGGTAGAATAGCTGAAGATTTACTTTTTAATTATGTAAAGAATAATGTTTACGAACAGTAAGTATTCAAGACGCATTTACTTTCTCTATAATTTTAATACTAATACTGTATTAGCCATGCACATTCGTTTATTATAGATTACAATGATCAAGAGATTAGAGAGTTGTTCGATGATGAAGAATGGAAGGAACTGACTGAGGATCGGTTAGGCATTCCTGATGTTCCGTTGAATATTGCAAAAGAAATAGCCAGATACGGAAATAAAGACTTGAAAGAATTACGTAAAACAATAATGACATCATATCTTCCTAATGATGTTCCTTATGATAATAACCAACACTACGACTTAGAATGGATACAAACATCAATAAGAACTATAGTCAGTCTGTATCAAAATGATGATTCTCCTTTACAAAGAAACCAATATGAATATTGGTATACTATTGCTTTATTTGGAGTTTGTATAGATGTTGCATATAGAGATGCAAAATTAGGAACAGATGTTAAAAGGTTTTTTATTAAATTAGTATAATTGTCAATTGATAATTATAATTATATTTTAATGCAATTTTATTTTAATTTTTATAGAGCGGATGCTCCATCATATGCAAGTTCTAATCGAAAGAATCGTATTAAAAAAAACAAAAGAAAACTAACAGGAAGGAAATTAGACGGCATTATTTATTTGGTAGAAAACCTTCATGAAATGGGAGCAATTGAAGGAGCAAGGTCATTTAATGGATTACATGACAAAAAATATCTTTTAGAATACTTTAAAATGCCAAAAGTACTTCGAGACATGTTAGCAGATTTGATAATAGCTGTCGATTACGATGCTTATAAAGCAAGCAAACTTCAAGTTTTTGGAATTATTCATCTTGGGTTGAAAGTACAATTTATCAGAATGTGGAGAGCAGGCGGATCAATAACAATTTACAAAAAGGATTATCCAGTACACGAAGTACCGAGTAAATTTTCTGTCGATAAATTTAAATCGTTCTTAAAATTCCTAGTATCAGTTTATCAATATAAGGTAAATAAAATTATTGTATTTACATTATTATTTATTTCTAGTAATTTCAACTTTATTTAATATAGATGATATTAAAAAATAATATACAAATTCTATATGGAGACGGTAATGATTCTAAAGAAGACACTTTATTAAATGACTTACTAAATATTGGCCGGCAACAAACACCACCTCCAAATACTATTAATTACTTTGCAGATTGTTTTGAAACTCCTACCAAAATCCAAAAACGCAAGGGAAAGAATAAATAAATAAATAGTAATTCAAGCAGTATATTAACAGAAAAACATAGTAATTAATATCGTAAAACTATAATTTTTAAAATAACAATCGTACAGATAGTTGTAGCTTTTATTAATAATATCATGTGCATAGCTTTTAAAAATACTATCTATATTTTTAATAGAGAAGTAAGCAAAATCATATAAAAAGTGTTTCTTAAAAAGCGTGACGGTACTACGAAAATTTTTATATAGATTAAAATATGGGTTTTTTGTCTACCGCGAAAATTGTAGGAATTAGCCTATCTTTATTGAAGAAAAACCAATTTTCCGTATCCATTACTATGGGTCACCAAAATCAAGTTACAAAAAAAAACAATAATAATAAAATGGCATGCAAAATTTAATGACCCAGTTGGCGTTATCATTTGTTATCAGGATCAAGAAAGACGAGAAGAAAGCGTTCGAAAGCCGCAAACATGGGTGAACAGGAAAATTTTATCCTTTGAGAATAGTTTGCGTATTTTTTGAAGTCAGATAAAGCAGACAATTCCATGGAAATTTTTTAGAAAGCTATTTGTTACTATTATAAAGTTGGTGCGGCGAGAGATATAGTTAACGTTAATTGACTAGTGCTAAAGTCGAATGATCGAGGATTGTCTTTTTTTTAAGAGGTAAGATTAGAGTTTTATTAAAATTATTATTTAGTTTGTATGATGAAGACTGTTATTCGAGGATGCTCGTATAGCTACAAATTAAAATATTTCTAAACAAAGAGATCCAGTACCTTGAGAAGGCGCACCTTCAAATTTTGAGGCAGATTTGTTTAATTCTCGCATAAGGTCAATGATCATATCTTTGGAAGGCCAAAATCTTACTCTGAAAATACTTTGACAAAGCTGCCATTAAATATGGTTATATGGTTACATTTTAAGCAAAGAGGTTCAGTACCCTTGAGAAGGCGCAATTCTGAACACCTTTAAATTTGAAATCGCAATGAGATCTTTTGGAAGGAAACAATCTAAACAGGCCTGTTCAACATCATTTACTTATGGTTTATTTGACTTTTAGCATCATTTGATTAGTTGCTACTTCCGGAGTCTATACTAGTTTGTACTTTATTAGAGTACGTTTACATTATTATAAAAAACTTAAGCAATAAATAAAATAAAAACCCAATTCATTTGTTTCCTGACTTCATTATTTAAAACTTCGTCTCTATAATTTACAGAATCACTACGTACGTATCATCTACATGTTCACCAGAGTCTCTGAGTTATGCAATCACTAGCATCTGTACGGGTTAGGCAATTACCAATGCCTTTATAAGGTTATTATTATCTCTAAAAGTTATACGTATTACTAGTGTCTCTATAAGTTACACAATCCGCAGCTTTACCTATAATAAGATACTTAAAATATTTTATTACGTAGCAATAAAAAGCATTATCATTAAATAATATCGATATCAAAATAATTACTATTTAAGGTTAAATTTGAATCACTTTCACTTTCATGGTCACTGTTAATAGCAATTCGTCCATTTACTTGACTTTGACTTGGCTGTGTCATGTCTCTTTGCCTCTGGGTGCCTATTTCTCAAAAATCTTCTACCTTATTAACGTGAATTTGAATGGATACTATTAAAGTATTTTGGTCTAAAAGTTCAAGATTTGTTAATTTCACTCTAACCTGTAAACGAAACGAAACGAGGTAATAATTATGTCTCTATTTGTTTGTTATCGATAGTATATCAATATGTATAGCTTTAGGTAAAAGATCTGGCGTCAGTTTGCGAAACCTTTAGCATTATCACTAAGATTTTGCTGGATGTAAACACAAAAGTTTCAAATTGCAATATCAAAAATAAAAAAAATAAAAACTTTGGGCTTCGTAAAATAATACTTTTTAGTATTATATTAAATAAATTAGCTAATTAACATGAATATTAAATAAATTAGCTAATTAACATGAATTTTGAGCATTGTATTAATTACCTAATCATTATTTGATCAGATACTTTTTCTGATGGTTGTATTTTTTAAATCATATAATATTAAACAAAGATATGGAGTTTTTGTCTTGAAAATAACCTTATGGAACATAATAAATCATATGATCCAAACTTGATTTTCAAAGCAAAGACCTATATGAGACAGTGTTATCAATAGAAACAGTTCATTTTTACAAATTTTAAAAATTTTTTTTTTTTGATTTTTGAATAGATATATATTCAATAAAAAAGGTTGTTTTAAGTTACAAAAGCTAATTATATAATAAAAAATTTTACAAAATGAACTTTAAATCAAAAATTTTATATATTTTACTATTTGTAGATTATTGCTTAAAATTGATTTACACAGCATAATGGAAGTTGGTTTTGATTGGCCAAAAAAATAATTGGCATTTTATAAATAACAAAATTTGATTGGTTAAAACTAAAGATTAACTTCACGTTATCTCGCGATACTTCTTTATAATTTTTTTGTAAAACCGATTGACCGATTGATATCTAACACTTTATATAACTTGCTCACGTGAAATTAGAAACTTTTAATCGAAAAAACTGTAGATTTTTATTAGCTATTTCGTTTTAAAATGCCAAAAATTTAATGTAATT